TCCCATGCAATATACGCTCTCCTTGGCTTAGCCTGCTTCTTATGTGACCGACTTGTTTCCTTTCCTTTGTCCTTTTTCATCAAGGCACAATCCGGCTTGTAGTGTTTGGTTTTTTCGCAGTTATAACACGGCCCTTTTGTTTTACCACCTTTATTGTCGTCATTCCTGGAATATCTTGATTGTTTTCGAAAGTTGACTAGATTTTTCTCAGAATGTTGGATACCGTTCTTCTTGACATAGCGATTGTATCGCTTCACAAATAGCCCCATATCCTCACTCTGTTCATTATCTTCGTCATCACTCGTATTGTAATCACTAAACTCTTTTCTGTGGGACTTTGAACAAGAAGTCTTGAGAGCAATAAACTTCTTTTCGGTATTTTTCGTTTTCTCCTTCTTTTCCCTTTTCTCATATTGCTCTAGACTAAGAAGCACTTTTTTGTGCTCTTGAAGCTTTCCAAACAATGTTGTAAGGTCCAAAATCATGAGGTCGTTTGCTTCCTTTATGGCGGTTACTTTTGGTTGCCATTCCCTATTAAGACATCTCAAGATTTTGTTAGTAGTAACATCATTGGCAACTGGCCTACCGAGTGAATATAGTCTATTGATAAGATGAGTAATTTTCTTTTGCATGTCAGCAATGGTTTCCCCTTGCTCCATGTGAAAGAGATCAAACTCTTGTGTTAAGGTATTGATTCTTGCTAGTTTAACATCATTGGTTCCATCATGGGCAACTTGAAATGAGTCTCACATAGTCTTTACAGTCAAACAATGAGAAACCCTATAGTATTCGTCAACTCCCAAGGAGGAGATCAGAATATTTTTGGCTTTCCAATCGTAATTATACTTCTTCTCGTCATCATCATTCCATTGTGCTTCAGGCTTAGGCACAATCATGTTATTTTCATCGGTCATGGTTATTTCCATAGGACCGTTGAAAATAACATTCCATACCTTCCTGTCAATGGAATTTATATGCACACGCATACAGTCTTTCCAGTAACTATAGTTTTCTCCATTAAAAACAGGTGCTCTATTATAAGCCCCTTTAGGTTCGTTAGCCATTTTCTACTAAGTTATACTTGAAGCACGAAATGAACTGGTGCTCTGATACCACTTGTTAGGCGATGGCGCAGATCTAGAAGAGGTGTTGAATATATTGCTTGCTTAAAAGAGTCGGCCTACCAATCAAAATGGTTTTTAAAATTTGTTTAATTGCGGAAGCGACCGAGGAACTATACACGTCTAAAACAAACGATTACTAGAAAATAGAATATGCGTTAAGCCTATGAAATCGGATAAATGAGATATGAGAATCACTATGTTAATCACACTTTCAATTTGATTATGCTCACTATACGGTGTGACAAGTTCCAATGCCTTTAAAATATTAACAACATGAAAAGACAGAACACAAGGTTTTCATTTCATACAAATTATCAAACACTTGGAGTGCAGAGCACTACAAGTGAGTTCTGTTTTGAGAGTTAGGTGATCAAGTTCCCTCTTACAATCAATGATGGTACTAGGTTCAAAAATAGTTTAGCACAACTCAAATCAGACCTAGATTGATATAATCGTTTGCACTAAAAACACAGATATTAAGCAATATAAATGTAAAGCAAAAGACACAACGATTTGTTGAGGCAGTTCCCCTGTCGTCCTCGCTCGGGCACGTCTACCCTCAATTCTAACAATAGAATTGAGACCTGTTTATAGATAGATATAACCTATTGGTTAATGTTAATACAAGAAGCGGATAACTATCAAACAAACAGACACTGTTGTAGATCCTATTTCTTCTTGCCCCATTGATTCGAGTTGAATCAAGTACTTCGACAGCTGTGAATATACCTCTGATTGCTGCACTCTCTTTGAACAACCTTCGGTCTTCAAAATCTGGTCCGACTGATTTCAATCACCCGCGTGTCGAATCTGAAACTCCCACTCACAATTCTTCGTTTACCGCTACTATATCGACAGAACCTCCATCTCTTCGATTACCTTCACTCGGCTGAATATGTGATGGAACAAATCGTGCAAAAACCCCAAAATCTGAGATTCTTGGATGGCAAAACCCTAATGGTTTTATTCAAGAAAAACCCGTCGATTACTCAACCCAAACCAGATAAACCAACCTTCGGCTTTGGAAGTTACCACCTCGAACATGTACAATGCACAACAAAGATGATATTGTCTGATTATTGTGAATTACTATGAAGAGAATGGAGATGATGAGAACCAAATTGACACCTATTTCACTTTTCTTGTTTTTCTCAATGTTTATAAAATGAAAGAGCACTTGAACTTATATACCAAACATAACTAACATAACAAACAAAACCAATTCACAAAACCAGTTGACATAACAGAAATTTGACACAAAACAGCGAGAGGTCAACCTATGCAGTAGAGGGGGTCGACCTGAGCAGACCCGAAAGCAAGATTATGCAGAAAACAGGACTATGCGTCGATGCATAGTATGCATTTTTAGCCAAATGAAAATGCTTACAGTATGAGTCGGCCGGAGGGTCGACGCAAGCCCTCCCGAGACCAATGCACTAAAAAGGCTTGTAGTGTGAGTCGATCAGAACAAGTCTTTGGTCAACTCAAAGCCCTGAAACACTCAAAAATGCCTATTTTCATACTTTATGATACTTTTGAGGAAACCTATAGTATGGCAACCAACACCAACTAAGTCAACCCTATATTTGGCTATCTATATGCAACAATCGTGATTTTTACGAGCATTTGAATTATAAGAACTATGACTTGGCGATAACGTCCAACATATATTCTTCTATGGAGCTGAGTTTTGACATCATCAAAACGAACACATCTATATATGAGACTTTGCCCTCACATCCAGACGCTCAGCCGTGGATATTGTCTGTGTTGAATAAAACCATATCAAAAATAAGCAAGTCTCTAGAATCACATGAATTATCACAAGCTACCATTGCTATGTATTCTTGGTGGCAGCATTAATTGTGTGACGTGTTCATTGAAGTGTTAAGCCTTACTTTTCCGGTAACAACCCCAATTTTACTTCAGAAAGACGCTTTTCTCAAGATACTCTGTGGTTTTGTTTGGACAATAGCCTGCGATTGTTCCATCCTTTTATGCCTTTTGTCACAGAAGAATTGTGGCAACGCCTTCCTTTGCCCAGGGAATGTAAGATTGCAAAATCTATCATGATAGGGTATTATCCATCAACTATAGAGGTTAGTTTGTTTTAATACTTTGCACCTTCCTCTCTCGATTAAATAATAGATAATTGTCTGTTTAGTCGCAGCTTCATTTGTTTTATTTATTTTTAATCTCAGAGCTGGAATAATGAAAAGGTGGAGAGTGAGATGTACCTCATTGAGTCTACTATGAAGTCTCTAAGGTCAGTGGCAAAAGAGAGACGTGACAAGTATGTCATAGGCGATGACCTTAGCATAGCACTTTGTATTTGTTATTAAATATTAGTTTCTCTACTAATTAAATTATTATTTGTGATTGCTGATTTCGACAATGATGATTGTTGCCAGGAGACCAACTTTTGTTCTCTGCCAAACACAGGCGGTTAAAAACATTATTGGCAGCCACCGGTTGGAGATTACAACATTGGCTAATCTATCCTCTTTGACTGTAAGTGGCAGTTGTGTTTTGATTAAGCATGTATCATTACTAGAAATACACAAATTACCTACGGATTTTCCTACGGAAAGAGTTCCGCAGCTTTACCTGCGATTTCACCTGCACCTTTATATTGTGAAACATTATTTCCTGCGAAAATTAATGTAGCAGCAAATTTCGCAGGAATTCCTAAGACTTTAGCTACGATTTTAGATTTAAAAGTAAAATATAAATTTCCTGCGGACTTTAATGCGATAATTTCTGCAGGAATTAGTTATCCAATGGAACCACAAAATTCTCTGGAAATATCGCAGGAATTGCTGCGAAGTTAGCTGCGGAATTTGCTGTAAATATTTCTGCGACTTTTACTGCAAATTGTTTAATTTATTTTTAGCTTTTAATATGTTTTTACTATTAATAAATAAAATTATAAAACACATATTGATTCCAAAAATATGTTGTTGAGACATTTTTTAATTTTATATTAAATCTTAGTTTTCCTTAAGAAAGATTTATAATATTAATTATTTTTTTAGTTATTTTTTAAAGAAAATTTATTTATTTAATACTTTTTATTGTTGTAAAAATTAGAAAAATCAAAATTTTAAGTCTATGATATAATTGTAAAATATAAATTTATTTATTTAATAATTTTTTATTGTTGTAAAGATAAGAAAAATAAAAAAATATAAGTTTATGATATAATTGTAAAAATATAAGTTTATGATATAATTGTAAAAATATAAGTTTATTTATTTAATTATATTTTTACTATTACTAAATAAAATTGTAAAATATAGTTGACATATTTATTTTTTAGATTTATATATATAATATAAAAACAAACCTATTTTAAAATAATTTTCACAGCAATTTTTTTTTGCTTTATTGAATAATAATAGTTTTTGTTTAAATTTTGTCAAAAATTATTTTTATTTATTTTTTAGATTTATTTATTTTAAGATAATTTTAGTACATATTATTCTTACTTAAGACTTTTTTTAAGATTTCATAGTTGTTGCAAATTTTTTTGAAAAATATTTGTAAAATTAGAATGATATTTTTAATCTCTATTTGTTCTATTTTATTAATTATTTTTAATGTGAATTGTGATTTTTAATTTTGATAAGAGTAATTTTTCTCTCTCTTACCGACTAAACAGTCTCTTAAAATTAAATCTCAATATAAATTATTTATATAATTTAAAAATATCATTCCTTAAACAAAATGAGATTAATTGTAGTATTTTCTAAACCCGCCCTAATTTCATCGCGCTCTCATAAATTCAGAGACACATAAATGGCGGGAAGTTGAAAAGCGATTAAACAAAAGCTATTAATCAAAAGCGTGTTTGTGGTTGCTCACCGTGAAGCGAAAATGGGATTTGAAGCTATAGTTCCAGAATGGGCATCGGAGCCTTGCATAATGGGAATCGACGAAGCCAGAAGAGGTCCCGTTCTTGATCCTATGGTCTATGGCTGTTTATACTGTCCTCTCTCCTACAAGAAAACCCTAGCTACTTTGAGTTTCGCCGGTAATTTCTCAATCAACTCCATTCTCTTTTTTAAACTTGTGATTACAATCAATTAATTTATTTTTAAAATTAGTATCGGTATCGGCGTGTAAGTGTTTTCAGTGTCAGTGCTTCATAGATTCTAATTCTTTTATGATCAATTAAATTGGCACTAATGCGTGTTCATGTTTATTCATAGTGATAGTATCATATACAATTTAGATTTGTAGTGTCACATTTGTGTATTTGTTGGAACAGATTCTAAGACTCTGAAAGAGGAGAAGAGGGAAGAATTGTTTGAAGCTTTGAAACACAATGATTCTATTGGATGGGTTGTTGATGTTATTGATCCAAAGGAACTCTCTTCTAAAATGCTCAAGAAGTAAAAACCCTTAAACCCTAGTTAGTTAGCTTTTGATTTTGTTGTTTTTATCTTCATCTGTATTTCAAATTGTTGTTTCTTCCTTTTTGTAACTTTAACAGGAATAAGATTAACTTGAATGAGATATCACATGACTCTGCTATGGGCCTCGTTGATCGGGTCCTCAAAATCGGAGTGCTTCTAACCGAGGTAAGAAAAACTTTTCTGAATTATGTGCCGATAAATTATGTCGATTAGTAAGGGACACTTGCTGTCTGATTTCCCTGTCTTGATTCTATAATGAAATTCAGTACTGAAAGAGAAAATTGAGGTTTTTATAAACTTTATTGTTAAGTACTTGGGGAATAATGTTAAGCAGATAATTGAGTTATTAGAGATGTAATGTAATGTATGATTTGTGCTTTTCAGGTTTATATTGATACGGTTGGAGATCCTGGGAAATATGAAGCAAAGATGTCTAAAAATTTCCCATCTATCAAATTTGTGGTTGCTAAGAAAGCTGATAGTCTTTATCCTGTTGTGAGTGGTGCAAGTATAGCTGCAAAGGTACCTAACATTAGTATAAAACTACATGAAGTATAAAGATTTATTGTCTACTTACAACCTTTAATCCAAACTTTCAGGTTACGAGAGACCGAGCCGTAAGAGATTGGGTGCTCGATGAGACTGTTGATAATATACATAGGAACTTTGGTTCTGGATATCCGGGAGGTGAGAATGTCATGAGCGCATCGCATATGATATCTATTATTTTGATTTGCATCGTAATTATAATAAATATGGTTTTGTTTTTTTGTTAATATAGATCCTGCAACCAAGTCTTGGCTAGAAAATCACAAACATTCTATCTTCGATTTTCCAACATTGGTCCGGTTTAGTTGGGGAACTTGCAGTACTTATTTTAAAAGTGGTGCTGAAGTTTTATGGTAAGCGTGCTCAATGCTTTCTTAATCTTATGGAAATCCACTAATGTTAGTATCAAATCCATCAATTTCTCTAATTTCTTTGCAAGTTACTACTTTCTATTCATATGTATAGTCGCAACTAATCATAAACTCAAAGTAGCGAATTTAGCGAATATAATTCATATGTATTGAATGAATGGTTGATGGAATAGGTGATTAGAGGACATCTAGAGTTGAATTATTTTGTTGGAATTGATGTGGATCCTGTGGCCAGCGACGTAGCTAAATTGCGGATCGCTTCAGTTTTGGATGAAAATTGGTGTTTTAGGGTTTGCTGCCATTCTTCAACATGCCAATTCAGCTCACAGTGCTATAGGTAACTTTAGGCCTTGAAATCATTTCATGTATTATCCTTTTCTTATGTGTACTACTGTGAAAACATTGTTATTGAAAATATCTGTAATTCTTCCGAGCCAGGTACCCCAGAGTTTATGGCTCCAGAACTTTATGAAGAGGAGTACAATGAGCTTGTTGACATATATGCTTTTGGCATGTGCTTGCTAGAGTTGGTAACTGTTGAGTACCCGTATGTTGAATGTGCTAATGCTGCTTAAATTTACAAGAAAGTGACATCTGTAAGTGCACTGTTTTCAAAATGCTGGGACAATTTTACTTCAATAGAACAGTGATATTAGAATTTTCAACTCTAATCTCAATGCTGATGAATTTAGGATTCAATCTGAAAGCTATATAAGTTTTTAGAGACTAAGGTTTTCTGAAACCCTTTAGAATTTGAATAGCACATCAATTTAAGCATCAACTTGATGAAATCACTTCTTGAACCAAATAGATCCTCGTTGTCTTATACCATTTGTGATTATGTAGTTATTACACATTGGTGAAAAGAAACAAAAATGAAAAAAATTTCTAGAACCAAATAGGTCCCTGCTGTCTCTCTATCATTGCCAAGATTATAGTTTTTGTTTAATTTCCACTAGGGAATAAAGCCAGCATCATTGGCAAAAGTAAATGATCCTGAAGTTAGAGCCTTTATAGAAAAGTGTATTGCTCATGTATCACAACAGTTTCCTGCAAAGACTCTCTTGATGGATCCCTTCCTTCAGTCAGATTTTGATGGCACCAGTGTCGATCGATCTTCGAGATCTAGAACCCAACATTCAGGTAAATATACTTTACATTACAAAGTACCAAATTAACATTCTACTTTTGTTTACCATCCAATGTATCAAAATGCAGGAAATAAGTTTGATGATCTAACCATTGCAAAAAGTGCCAAGGATAACTCTGTTGGGCAAATAGGGAATTCACCGTGGAAGGCTAGAGGAGAGATGTTAATACAATATTTTTAAAACTACGAATTGCTGATTCCTCAGGTATTCTCTTGAGTTTGTTTCCCCCCCCCCCCCCCCCCCCCAACTATTTTATTTTTCATGGTTCTGATGTCCATTTGCTTCTAAGCCATATTCGAAATATCCATTTCCCTTTCGATATTGGAGCAGACACTTCAGTCGCTGTTGCCAGTGAAATGGTTGAGGAGTTGGAGCTTAGTGATCAAGATGTTTCAACCATTGCAGTGAAAATTGACTCAGAGAGTAGCTATAATTGCAAGCTTTAACTTTATTGTATGGTAGCATAAACTCTGTTTTTGACCACATAAAATTTGTAACAGGGTGAAATATAAGAATTGTTATTTAATTGAATTTTGCAAATAAGTTATGGTTTAAAATTTTATATAAATATTTTTTTTTAATAATATAACTCTAGAAGTATTGTTATTGACTTTATAGTTATGTTTGGTTGCTTTAAAAATTTGAATGTGATTAGTTATGCATTGTCATATTCAAATTAGATATTTGTTTTTATATTATTATATTTTACAATAATTATAATATTTTAAATATAAATTTAACAAAATTAACAACAAAAATTAAAAACATGAGAGAGAAATTACCTGCGAGTTTACCTGCGGAGTTTTAGTTTGGTGCGATATTCCCTGCGAAAATTTCATTTACCTGTGTTGTTATATGCGAATTTATCTATTTTACCTGCGATTTTTCCTGCGACATTTTCCGTGACATTTTCCTGCGACTTCACCTGCTATATTAATTACCCACGAAGGTTTTAGCTGGGAACAGAAAATAGCAGGAAGAATGGCAGGTGACACCTTTCCTACGGAAATTTTGTCAAAATCCGCAGGAAAACAGAGTATTTCTAGTAGTGTATCTCATTCATGTCCACTTCATTTGATTTACATATTTTCACCTTTAATGTCGATGATATGATTCACAGGTAATCACCGAAAATGAAGTTGTTCCATCTGGATATGCTACTATTGTCGTGAACGAAATCATTTGTGTTTATTTAGAGTTTGAAGGAGTTAATTTTGTAGAAGTTGAGGTTTGAAGGAAGAAGAAGATAGAGGAGCTAAACAAGTATGTTAATATCACATTGTTTCTAGCAGGTGTATGTATCTTACTGTAAGTAGTGTGGATATGACTGAGAACTCTATTATTAAACTGCATAAACCCTTTGAACAAGTCATTGTTTGCTTATCTGATGATAAATAAAAAAAAATGTATTCAAAATGTTCAAAGTAAAACTGGAAAAGAAGTAACTTCTCTTGTTCTTGGAACAAACACAACGTGTTTCTGCTCAAGTGAACCCGAATTCGTGTAAAAATAAAATTTCTCTCATTTGAAAGATATTGTCTTTTATTCTCTTCCTTTTATGTGTCTCATATTTAAATATTCTAATGTTCCAGGTAACAATGAGAAAGATGATGATTATGTTAATACTGACTCCCAGTTTATCATATAGTCATGGTGCATTTCTAGCATCCTCACAAAGTGCCACAAGCAAAGTCATTCTAGGTACAATACATGTTTTGTTAATGTCAATTTGTTTTGAATAATGATTTATGATTTGGCTATTGTAAGTATTTGAATGATAAATTATCATAAGTTCTTTGCATAGTATTTATTTTATATTTATTACATTATTTTATATTTATTTTATATTTTTTCTATTGTAATCAACAGTCCTTTCTAGTGGAATGCATGGCATATTTGGCCCAATGATTTTTCAGTTATCTGATGTTTTTCCTCCAATGATTTTGATTCATTGATTATGGTGAATGTGTGATGTTCTAACTGTATAAAATATAGATCTTATAAATTGACTAAAATCATGTCAAGGTTCTATTAGTGCTGACACTGTAGCAGGGGAAAAATTGGGATTAAGCTATTGACTAACTTAACTCATAAAGCAAGAGTTGCCACCACACTTTTTTTTTCAAAGGAATGGGAAAAGAACTAATAAAACCCACATAAGTTTTTTTAAAAAACTAATAAAACAGAGAGACAAAAGGGCATGGGGTTTGTTATGCAATAAGAAGGTGTTAGTACCAAAAATATCTATAATACTCTTTAGAAACCTCTTGAAAATTTATGTTTGGCTTAAAATGTGTTGTTTGAAAAAGATTGAGGAAATGAGAAGAGACATATTTTTTAGGGTTTTTGGTGTTTGACAAGACTTCCTGAGCCTCGTGCCTACGTACCCACAAAATGCAATGGAGGATCAAAACCTTGTAGTTTGTGGTAAAAATAACAAAAGAGTTTGTTGTGATTGATTTCAAATGGAAAGACAAGTTGTCATTTTAAGGAGAAAAACCAGCTGATCACCCATAAGTATATGAAAATGGATCATTGCATCACTATTGAGAAGGACTCAAACTTGGATAGAAATCAATGAGTATGCCCCTAACTCTCTCAAGTGGAAAATAATCAACGTCAAACATCACTATGAGTATAGGAAAATTACATCTCAACTATGAAAATGACTCATGTCTAATCCTTAAGAAAAAGTTTTGAAAGAGAAAAGTTCAAAAAGGGCACAAAATAGTTCGAATGAGTTGTGTATCTTTTATGTCTTTTGAAATGGTCTTGCTATGCTTAATATGAATTAGCATTTATTTAAGAAAAAGAGTTTGAAAATCACTTGACAAATTCAAGGTTTATTAAGAAAGTGGTTCAAGTTTTAAAACAAGAACATTTTAAAAAAGGAAGAATATTTTGAAATTTTAAGAAGGGGAAGAGATGACGAGACTATCCTAATAAAAGCAATAAAGTGTAAGTGTGCGCAAGTGTACTAACCAGAAGTGAAACAAGCCAATTGACATAAGTCAAACCAAGCCTTCCATCCTTTGGATTAAGCCACAATCAAGCCAAGTAAGCAAAGCACAAACCAATGTATCATATGAAAGAAGAACTCAGGCCAAGAGGTCAAAACCAAAGTATCAGAGCCAAGTCTTCAAAAAAGTCAACCTAAGGTCAAAGGTACCAGATGAATTCCAATGCTTCAAATCACAACTCCAAAGCAAAGGATCAAGAACCTAAATCTAAGTCCACAAGTCCAACATCCAAGCTAGGGATAATAACTAATAGTCCAAGGAAGCAATTAAGTCTTTTAGGGATTTTTCCTTTATTAATGTCTTTAAAGAAAAAAGATGAGTCCAAGTGGACAAAGGAAAAAAAGAAGCATAAACATAAACAATATGAAATGTAAATGATGAAATAAAAGTATAATTTAAAGAGCAATAAGTAAAGGACATAAAAGTAAAGGTGCAAGAAAATAAATGACATAAAATAAAAGTTATCACAATATTATTGTAAGTGTTGATGTTAAAGTTAATAATCCGATTCGAAACAAATTTAGCGTTATGTTAAATAATCGTAGCACAATCTATAAGGAAGATCATACTATAGGAGACCGGTCAATAATAATTTATGTACCATACATGTTAGAGATATGAAAGAAATCACACTCCTAAAACATGTAGCACAAGTAAAAACCAAGGAGGGATCAAGCACTAAGGTAAGGAGATTGGTCTATTACATCAATCATCCTTTATGACAACTTAGAAAAAACTTATGCATCAACCCAAAGTACTTCCCATGATCTTTGATCAATTGAATAAAAGATTTTAAATGATGAAATTTCATCAAG